TCAAGGTTGATATCACTGGCAAGGCAGCATGAGGGAGCTCGCATTGCAGTTGTCTGAACCACACCTCGTTTGCAGTTAAATATAGAACTACACTTTCCGGAACTATTGCTCCTCTTAACCTTCAGATCATAAATATTCAGAAAGAAATTTAAAGAAGAAAGAAAGAAGGACCTTCTAAATCTATTGTCCGAAACCCAAGCCTAACAGCTAATAAACTGTCCTGGGAGAAATTCCAAAAAGCAGCAAAGAGAGGAGAATTGAATTATAGAAACCACAAGCAGCATTCTGGAAAGCCAGAATAAACTCATTAGATCCTTGGATACACATGCACTGTACATAAGCAGACATGTATCCACAACTTGAAAGTACACACACAGGACCTGATTCTGATCTCACATAAACCAGTTTGACACCAAGTGTACCTCCACAAGAGTTACAGTTGATTTACACAAATCAAAACCAGGAACGCTGCCAACTGCAACCATCACATTCCTTATGCAGTTCAAGAGCCGCATCCGGAGTGGTGCTGAACACCCATGACACCCATTCAATGCAGCAGTGGTGCTAAATATGTGATTGCAGGATCCTTTGTATACAAGGAACAAACACAAACAAAAGGGGTGTGGAAGGGACAGTTCTGGGTGTGTCTTTGATGAAATTGATAAACATGGCATGTCGGTTGATCCTCATAATTCAACTATACTATGGATCTGTGACCAAAGACACATTTATCTTCGGCACAGCAGTCAGCCAGCCAGTGCTCACTTTAACTGTGCAGAAGCGACTTCAGACGGTCATTCCTTGGGCAAATGGAGATGATGCATTTGGTTAAGGGGACACACCGGGTCACTGGAGACATGATGCACTTTTAAAAAAAGCATGTCTTGCCCTTGGCCATGAATTGGTTGGCATGTGCCCTAGCCCACAGCAGAGTTAACTCAAACAACAATGAGTGTACAGGAAAACAAAAACTGCACAGTAATGCTCATACAAATATCACATGTAAAGCTAAAAGCATCAAGAAGAGCCCACTTAAAAGCAGCCACTATGCGCTCAATTGGACATACGAACAGCACGTTAGTGTTTTCCATGAGTGGCACATCAGAACTACTGGGTGCTAGGAGGACACAAAACAAAGAAACATGTTTAATCGGGTAAGGAAAATCTTTTGGCCTACTGAGTTGGGTCAACTGCCTCCACTAGCAGCCAAATCCTAGAGATGAAGAAGCAAACCACCCGTGTAAAGCAACTAGATCACTGTGCAATCTTATACGCTATAAACAGAAGCAGAAAAATCCCTTCCCGTTCCCAGCGGTGATCAGCACTGGCCAGGGATCAGGAAACCTGCTTGCGTAAGCTGGTATTAAGAGTCATAAAATTGGTGGGCCTGGGACTGTGGTAACATGTAAGTGTATCCTGTATGCAACAACCCTGGGCTCTTCTTCGGGTGTCTCCCTCACTTTAGGCAATGTATTTGCACATGTCAGTGATTAGTATTTGTTTACAAAAACCCTTGCTGCACTGCAGCCGCGCCTAGAGTCAGGATAAGGGCACCATTGCAGTACACACTGTATAACCACCCAGCAAAAGACAATCCCTGCCCCCAAGAGCTTACAATCGGAGACAAGATGCAAGGAATGAGTGTGGCAAACAAAGGAAAGAAGGCGCGGAAGGAGGGGAAAACTGCAATGAAAATAAGATCAAGTGGTTACCTAGGTATTCTACTACACAAGGTGGTGGTTTCTGATAGTTTAAACCAGGGGTAGGCCACCTATGGCACGTGTGCCAAAGACGGCACGCGAGCTGATTTTCAGTGGCACTCACACTGCCCGGGTCCTGGCCACTGGTCCGGGGGGCTCTGCATTTTAATTTAATTTTAAATGAAGCTTCTTAAACATTTTAAAAACTGAATTTACTTTACATACACCAATAGTTTAGTTATATGCTATAGACTTATAGAAAGAGACCTTCTAAAAACCTTAAAATGTATTACTGGCACACGAAACCTTAAACCAATTTTGACATTTTTTCTAATGCACAAAATTGTTCCTCCCTTACTGGGGTACAGCCAAACCATTATAGACTGATTTCTTGTAGGTGTCAGAGCAGAGGAGAGTCTTGAGGAGGGATCTGAAGGAGAAGAGGGTAGTGTTTGGCATTGTCTTTTTGTTCTGTGTTTGTACAGTGCCTAGCACAATGGCGTGTTGGGGCACAGCTAGGGCTCCTGGGTGCTACAGTCATACAAAACAACATAATAATCATTGTAATGGGGGGGGGGAGAAGACATGTTTCCTTGCCCCAAAGAGCTTCAATTCTAAATCAGAGAGACCGTACAGTACAGACCCAGTGAATTAAAGGTCCCAGTTTCAAAGTGGTGCAGAAGTGCAATACGTTGCTGTCATTTCCCAAATATCACCTTGCAGAGGGGACACTTGGTTCTAAAGTACTTCACAACTTTTTCTTTTAATGCTAAACCTCTGACCCATTATAGTTAAGGGACAAAGTAAGGAAAGGGGAAGAGAAAGGAAGAGGAAAACACCATTGGAGTGACTCTCCTACGGGTCTCACGCTATACTAACTACTTGCCTAGTTAGTGCAAACCCCGCTGAAGGTAGGGTGACCAGACAGCAAGTGTGAAAAATCAGGACAGGGGTGGGGGGTAATAGGAGCCTTTATAAGACAAAGCCCCAAATATTAGGACTGTCCCTATAAAATCAGGACGTCTGGTCACCCTAGCGGAAGGCTACGGGACTCTGAACTGATGCAAAGTTCTCCACTATCAGCTTCCAGTAAAGGATGGGGCCTTCCATTACACAGACTCTTCAGGGCAGGCACAGGTTTATCATTTAAGAGAAGCATTGATGAGGAACAGATTTAACAAACCACAGATAGACATTGGAGGAGTGTCAAGAGAAGACTTGGAGACAATTGCTATTTCCTGACCCCAAGACTGCAAAGCCTCACTCGTGTGGATGGTCTCATTACTTCACCCAGACCATCCCTGTGAGTAAAACACTTTTGCTTGAGGAAGGGCGGCAGCAGTGGGCCCCAAAGGTATTTAACTTTGTGGTCTCGGCATCAGTAGAAGCAGGCTGTCTCCTGCTACCAACTCCTGTTACGTGACAGAGCCCAGTGTCTGAGTGAGGAGAAGTGTTTTCTACAGTGGAAGTGCACTCACAAATAGCGAGCACATATTTCAGAACCTGCGAGGGGCTGAGAACCTCCATCTCCCACAGATTTCTTTAGGAGGTGAAAGTGTTGATCCCCTCCTGGAGGTGCACAAGATCAGGCCCTTGCTATGTCAGAGTTAGGAGGCAGGCATCAATGTGCATTGGAAAGAATAAAACCCTATATGAATTTTTGAACGCCATATAGTTTGGAGGCATGATTGTGGCCCTCACCAAGTACTCTGCTGGGAGTGCAAATGCCATCGATACTATAGCGATGAGCGTGATGTGCATGAATAGTTTGATTATTGCCGGTGCACTAGGCGCTTCAGCTACCTTTATGAAAAGGAGCTGGACTGCTCCTTATTGCAACGTCTCCATAACACGTGTATCCTATTCTACTCCCTGGGGATGAGCTGGAAGATGGCATGAAAAGCACCTACAGCTTTCGACTTTCATGGTCTATGTAATCTCTTGTGCTTACAGGTTAGAATTCTGGGGTGTTTAATATTTTATTATTTACAATCCCTTCATCTTCCCTATGTTCTAGCAGGAAAATACTACACACAACAGCCCAAATGCCGCATAGTAGACAGGCTTGGATATGGAGGTATTTGTCCAAACCCAGCAACATCTGCAGGATCTTTTTTGCCCTAACTGCAGATCCTCTTCTCACAAGGGTTTGGACCTGTTGCTGTATGGAGCTTCCAGATTCCGCTCTGGCTGTCCGCACAAGGTGCTCACAGCCAAGTGCATTACCAAGGACTCGCTTAATCCCCAATGCACCCCACACTCCAAAGTTGGAAGAAGACTGAATGGGGGGAAAAAACACTGCCTCCCAGCAATTTAGCCTTTACAAGGAATAAGCACTTACCCCTACACGGTCACTCTGTACACGCTGGGCCTTTCCCAGCTGCCAATTTAGGCACTAGAGAGAGATTCTGAAGTGAGCAGAGAGCAAAGGCAAAGCGTGCAGGCAGCAGGCAGACCTCGCTAGGAGAGTGCTTAATTTCTGCCAGGCTGAAGAGCTGGGAGTTCTAATGTATTTGAATGGCTCTACCTTGCCCTGTACTGTTCCCCGCCAACATCCAGGGCTGTAACGGGCTTCTGGGCAGGGAATTTATCATCCGGCAAAGCTCTCTTACACAGCACTGTAAATGGACAGGGGTGCGGTACAAATGCCAGCATAAAATAGGATATTTGTTTTATCTATTTGAGGTAGGATCTGCAAAATGGAAAGAGCTGCACAATACAAAGCAAAGATCATTCAGAATCCCGTCTAGACAGAGTCTGGATTAGCTTGAATGAAAGCTCCCTGGAAAGCTAAGGAAGAGCTGAACAAAAAAGACCTGGAAGACTCCACAAACTGAACCAAGGGCCAGGCTCCCGAGAGCTGTGAAGAACGTTCAGCGTGATCAAGAGGACTACGGCACGTAAAGGCTTTCCATGAAATGGGGAGTGATACTTCCTCCTAGTTCTCTGAGGGAAAAAACACGTCCAGGTAGCTACACCGGTACCCTGATATACCGCGACCCGATATAACACGAATTCGGGTAGAACGCTGTAAAGCAGCGTTCCGGGGGGGCGGGGCGGCTGCGCACTCTGGCGGATCAAAGCAAGTTCGCTATAACGCGGTTTCACCTAGAACGCGGTAAGATTTTTTGGCTCCCGAGGACAGCGTTATATCGGGGTAGAGGTGTAATTGGCTTGCACACTGCTGAAGCACACTCAGGATAAAGCAGTTGTTACTCATCAGAGCAGGGACAAATGGTATCTCAATCTACTTCCATTTAATGCACATCAAGGCCTTGGCAACCCCAAGGAGAGACATACCTTTCCATAACTGCCAGGCACTCCTTTCTCCATGTGAACCGACTGCCTCGCCGTAGTCTGAAGGTCCCAGAGGTAGCTGTGACTGGGGGAGGCGTCTGTCTCCATTCTGGCTCTTCTACTGGGATTGGAGCAGGTCTCATACTTAACGTAGCCCCTAAAAACAAGAATAAATACTGTTTCCTAATGGACTGTAAATCTTGCTTCTCTTCTCAGTCCTGCTAATGAAGAAACAACTGACTGGGGAAGCCATTCAAGCCAAAGATAAAACACTTACAAATGACAGGGCCAGTGCAACCATTTAGGTGACCTAGGCAGTCGCCTAGGGCACTAGGATTTGGGGGGTGTCATTTTCTTCGGCAGCGACCATGGCGGCCGGATCTTCGGCTGCCCCGGTCGCCGCCGGCATTTAGGCGGAGGGAGCTGGGGCAGTGGAGCGCAGGGAGGGTCGCCTGCAGCAAGTGGGGGGACGGCACGCGGGGGGACTCCCCACCCCAGCTCACCCCTGCCCCGCCTCCTCCCCGAGCAACCCCCGCAGCAGCTCCCCCCCTCGGCCCTGAGGCTCCCCCCTCTGACGCACTCCCCCGCAGCAGCTCCCCGCCTCCTCCCCGAGCACCCCCTGCGCCCCAGCTCACCTCTGCCCCGCCTCCTCCCCGAGCACCCCCCCCCACGCTGGGCCTTATCCCCCTTGACTGCTCCTTTAGAATCTCAACCATCTAGTGGCTCCATTGGTTATTTAGCAGGCTTCCTGCTTCTGATGTATCTTAAAAAAAAATTATGCCATTACTCTTTGAGTCTTTGGCTAGATGTTCTTCAAATTCTTTTTTGGCCTTCCTAATTATATTTGTACACTTGACTTGCCAGAGTTTATGCTCCTTTCTATTTTCCTCAATAGGATTTAACTTCCACTTTGTAAAGGATGCCTTTTTGTCTCTCTCTGCTTCTTTTACTTTGTTGTTTAGCCACGGCGGCACTCTTTCGGTTCTCTTTCTATGTTTTTTAATTTGGGATACATATTTAATTTGGGCCTCTATTATGGTGTCTTTAAAAAATTTCCAAGGATTTCACTTTTGGCACGGTACATTTTAATTTCTGTTTAACTAACTTCATTTTTGTTCCCCTTTCTGAAATTAAATGCTACCATGGTGGGCTGCTTTGGTGTTTCCCCACAACAGGGATATTAAATTTTATTATGTTATGATCACTATTAGCAAGTCATTCAGCTATATTCACCACTTGGACTAGATCCTGTGCTCCATTTAGGACTAAATCAAGAATTGCCTCTCCTCTTGTGAGTTCCAGGACTAGCTGCTCCAAGAAGCTGTCATTTAAGCTGTCAGGAAACTTTGTCTCTACATCCCGTCCTGAGGTGACATGTACCCAGTCAATATGGGGATAGCTGAAATCTCCCATTACTATTGAGTTTTTTATTTTTATAGCCTCTCTAATCTCCCAGAGCATTTCACAGTCACTATCAGCATCCTGGTCAGGTGTCGGTAATATATCCTTACTGCTATATTCTTATTATTCAAGCATGGAATTACTATCCATGGAGATTCTATGGTACAGTTTGGTTCATTTAAGATTTTTACTTCATTTGACTCTACACTTTTTCCCCCACATATAGTGCTCCTCCCCGATCAGTTCTATCCTTTTGATATACATCTCTACCTTGATATAACGCTGTCCTCGGGAGGCAAAAAATCTTACCGCGTTATAGGTGAAACCGCGTTATATCTAACTTGCTTTGATTCGCCGGAGTGCACAGCCCCGCCCCCCTGGAGCACTACTTTACCACATTATATCCGAATTCATGTTATATCGGGTCGCGTTATATCAGGGTAGAGATGTATTTTGTACCTTGGTATTACTGTGTCCCATTGATTATCCTCATCCACCAAGTTTCAGTGATGCCTAGTATATCAATATCCTCATTTAATACGAGGCACTCTAGTTCACCCATCTTATTATTTAGACTTCTAGCATTGGTATATAAGCACTTAAAAATAGTCACTTTTTAGCTGTCTGCCACTGTAATAGAGTGAAGGGGGTCAAGAACCTCACATGGCTTAACCCTAGCAATGCTTTCCCTACCTACTGTTAATGAGTGGAGAAATCATTATCAGGATTTGGCAGTATCAGCTGCCCAATGACTGTTTTCCTTACTGAAGATTAGCACTCTGAGAAGGGTGGGAGTCTCTTGAAGGGTTAAAACTTTCTCCTGGGTAAGTCAGTAGTAAGTAAAGCACATCATTGTTAGTCTTGCGCACACGGGGGCACTGTCTGGGGAAGTTCCCTCAGCCCTACATGCAGTAGCGCTGTCTTTCCCCGCTCACTCTATGCTGTAGTTTATTGCTGGGCAATAATATTTACCCAGTTAAATGTAACATCAGCTGGTTGCACCATCGTTTCAAAGTAGGATTTTGGCCAACTTTTACCAATGTTGGTGCACGAATTTGTATAGTCTAATGTTTCAGAAAAGTATCTGACGGGCACAGCCCTTCAAACACAGAATTAATGGGTCAGCAAGAGTGAGGAAATGCTAGCCCCCACCCTAGTGTCTTACCAACAAACCTCCCCCTGACCAGGAGCTGGGAGAGCAGAGGCTCTCTCCACCTGCTCATAAGCAGGCAATTGGTTGGCAGCGCTCTCTCAGAAATCAGATAAAAATGAAAGAGAGCATTTCAGTGATGCTTAGCATCAAGGTAACAGCTGCAGAGTAATGATATTATGTTAGTGTGTCTAAAATGTTTCTTAGGTAAAGGAGAAAAAAATGAATAATTTTTTTTAGAGCATAAATCTGCTTCCATGTAAATCAGGCGTTGATGCATTTACTTACTGAATATAAAATGCCTTTTTTGTTTTGTTTTGTTTTTTTGTTTTGGGTAGTGATAGCCTTGGTGGGTCAATTCACCCATTTCTCTTTTCCATGGGACAAGATCAGTAAAAGCAGCATCCTGAAGTTGGCAGACACTGGAGAAATGTTTTGAGAACTGGGGATGAATATAGGCTACCACCTCAACACATGCACATGAGATCTGGCACAAGGAAAACCACACGGGAGCATCGGGTGCTTGGGTCTCAACTGGTGATAGGGGAAATGCTGTTCAGCATAAGCACTGCTGGCATGATCTTTGGTGAAGGAATCGGAGAGAGTTTCTCCTCTGAGACCTTTGGTTACTTGTTCTTTTCACCTGCTGCCTCAAAGCATCACTCTGATGTTCTGCCCACCCAGCTCTGCTTCTATAGTTTCTCTAAAACAAAGGCGTAGCATGCCATTTGTTCCATGCTAAGGGCCAGATTCTTCAATTATACCAATGCACCTCTGCATGCAGAACTAGTTTACCTGGACAGTGATGAGTGCATACAAAAGCCTATGACAGATCACAAGATCTGGCCCTAAAAACAGCAGATTTTTAGAAGAAGGGATACTGCTATGTTTTTGGCTGAGTAGAGCCACAACGTTGGGAAGCAATTAAGTAAAAGCTCTGAGAACTGTGCCTTGGTATATACATCAAAAGGTGGGGCTCTCTGTACGTGAAGAGAGATAAATTGTGTGGGGAAGCCCTATTCATAGAGCATATAGGACTAGCATCTCCTACCGTCATCCAATGCCAGATGTGACCTTGCAATGAAATGGATGGGACTAAATCGTTCCCTGGAAGGACCACGTCTAGATATCAGGGAGGAGTTCAGTCTCCATCGTCCTTTCAGTGTTTGACCTTTGTGCTGAAATTGCCAGCTAGGTTACCAGTTTATTTATTGTTCCCTTTCCCTTAATCTCCATCTTCTTGTGTGTCTGTCCTTAGACTGAGAACTCCTGGGGGCAGGGACCGTGTCCTCTTTCCACAGAGTTTAAAACCAGAAAGAACAACTGGGTCATGGGTTCTGACCGCCTGTAAATTTCACCCTGATGCCCTTATGCTGAGCCCAATGACTTTAGTTAGATTAAAGAATTTCAGTCCTCAAGAGACTAAACTATTCCATGCCACTGGCAGAGAACAGGAGAGACCAATGTGTCACCAGTGTCTGGGGTTCCAGCAACAGTAAGGAATTGATTAGGTGAGAGATACCCAGATGATCCTAGCAGGCGATCTATGCCCTATGCTGCAGAGAAAGGCAAAATGCCCTTAAAGTTCCTGACAATTTGACCTGGGGGAAATATCCTTCCTGAGCCCCACTTTGGTGATCAGTTTGACCCTGAGCATGTGAGCAAGACACGCCAGCCAGGTACCTAGGAAAGAGGACTCTCTGTACCACCTAAGAGTACTTATTCACTCTCTCTCTTGTCCTGTTTCTAGCTAGGGCTAACCTCAGATGCTTCAGAGGAAGGCGAACACCAATCCCCGCCTCCGTGCCCCAAGAATACATCTGGACAATTGTGCACCTGGGAAAAAGATTCCTTCCTGACCACTAGCTGAAGCCTTGCAGTGTGAGATCTGATGATAGTCATTGTCTTAATTGAGAGGTGCAAGTGTTCTGAGCGTGTTGAGGACCATACTGAGTTTCCTGTTCTCTCCATGAAGGAAGGGAATGACTAGGGGGATCTGTAGATTCACAGACTCCAAGGCCAGAAGGGACTAGCACAACCATCCAGCCGAACCCTTCCCCACCCTCACAGGTGGTAGAATTTCTCCAAGAAGCTGGATTAAAGCATATCTTGTAGGCTAGGTATACACTGCAGCTCAGAGGTGTAATACCCAGCTCAGATAGACATACACACGCTAGCTTGAAAGCTAGTGCACTATACGTAGCAATGTGGCTGCAGCAGCATGGGCTAGCCACCCAAGTACAACCCCATCCAAGACCCCAGGTACTTATTCAGGCAGCTAACGAGGGCTGCCGCCAAGGCCATGCTGTTACTTTTAGTGTGCTAGCGTGAGCAGAGCTCGTGCGTGTATGTCTACCTGGGCTGGGAATGACCCATCCCAGCTGCAGTGCAGACGTATCCGTAGAAAGATATCCAATCTTGTTTTAAAAAGATTAAATGTGGGTGAGTCCACCACCTTCATTGCAAAGCTGTTCCAATGTTCAATTAGCATCACTGCTAGGAAACTGCATCTCATTTCAAGGCTGAATTTGTCTAACTTCAACTTCCAGCCACTGGCTCTTGTTTTGCCTTTGTCAACAAGATTGAAAAGCCCCTTCTATCGGATG